TTTTTCAAACAAAAGAAAAAGAAACGAACAACAAATTGAGTAGCCTCCAAAGTTGTTTAAATTTGGCCCTAAAAAGGAGATGGAAAACGTGAACTGTAACTGGTCAATTAGGAGATGTTTTTGTTCATAGATTAGAATCATTTTCTATTTACGTGTATTTTTTGTGAGAAAAAACACTATAGTGAATCATGATTCGAATCGAAATACGAATCTGCTAACCAAATAACCCATTAGAAAGCGATTCCACGCACCCCGCTTGCAAGAAATGGCCAACCGATTAAAATCTCCGTATTTTAGTCATAGATAAATATATATCTGCAGCGCAAAGCTACAGTTGTTTTTCTAAAAGCTTCATTTTTAATTAGGCGGCACAATATTTTATACTAATTACTTAATGGTTAGAGCTCATTTACTTCTTAATTAACTTTCTATATTTCTTTTATTTTTTTATTTTTTTATTTTTTTGCAAGTTGTGCCACACAAGTTTTAAGGAGCATTAATCCCATTACAGAAAATTAAAGACAATATATGCATGCGAGATTATTAGAAGGGTAGTTCTGTTCACACCTATATTTTTAAACTCTATTCCCGCTTTCTCACTACACACCCTATATGATTTTTAAGGATTAGATTTATTTTTTTACATACCCCTATTATTTAGAATTAACCTTAACTATTTTAATAAAATTATTAATTTTTTGACTAATTTATTTTTCTCTTGCACCCACTATTTTATTTTAATTATTTATTTAAAAAACAAATCAAATTGCATAAGAAAAAAAAAGAACATGAAAAAGGAAAAAAAGCAAAAAAAAATGATTAAAAAGAAAAAAAAAACAAAAGCAAAACAACTCAAAATAATTAATAAAAAGTTAAACAGAACATCAACATAATTATATTATATTAATATATACAATCAGAAAAGACAAATTGATAAAAAAAAAAAAAAACTTGTTAAAGAAAATATGACCACAAGGAAAAAAAAGAATGAAATGGAAAATATGCAATCAACAAAACTTTATAAAAATGAAAAATAATATGATTTTAATCCTAAGAAAGTGAAATGATTAGCAAAAAAACATGATAGGAAGAAAAGATAAAAGAACAATTGTCATAGAACAAATAGAAAAAAAAAAATTGGTATACTTCTATGAAATTTTTTGAAAGTCATTGAAAAGTGAAAATTTGGGAAATTGGTTGAAATAGCCTATGAAATTGGTATACTTCGGCTACAGTCGCGGCGAAGTGACCCACGAGTGGGTTGAGAGACCACTGTCCCGACAACCCCACTCACCAAGATCTGAAGCTTTTTGAATTTGGGTCGTTGACGACAATCTCACTGGAGGCGACAGAGGAGATTTGTTTTAATGAATTTGATTTAGTGCAATCTGGTGTATTTTTGTTAGGATCATATTACCACGAGCTTTCAATTTTAATCTAACGGATGCAAGTGATTAATAATGTAAAAAGAATGAGAGGTATGTTAGCATTTTCTATATATATATATATATTATGAAATGCTGGGTGGTGAAGATATCATGCAATAATACGTAAAAGTATAACGGTGCTAAAAATTAAAAATAATAAATAATTAAAAAAAAAAAAGACATAGCTATTCTTGATTTCTCTTTTCCGGCCGACAAAAGTTTCTTCATCTTATTTTTTGGACACCCGAAACATGTGAAGGAAAAAGTAGACATATATTATATGGTACATGACAATGATTGAAGTAACCTATGATAGGGAAGAAGATGATACAGGACCGCTACTTTTTTTTTTTTTTTTTTTTTTTTTTTTTTGTTCGTAAATGAGATATTATATATGTACAGTTTGAAATAAGTCAAGTACAAGATGGTGTCATGGAGTTAGTACTATATTTAAGGGGAAAATATCATTACAGCACACTTTTTGGCGATCAAATGTTGAGGGTAACCCTTTGCAATCAAAGTTTGGGTCGCCAAAAATTTTTATAGCAAATGATCTGGTTTGGCCACCACTTCTACTTTTTCTTACCCATTATTTTTATTTTAGATGTGTCTATTGACACTTCCCATTTTATTTTTCACATACCCATTTTTAAACAACCCTTCAATTTAATTGTTACGCTCCTCTAAAAATTTTTAAAAAATTCCTATAATTAAATTGTATTATTTTTCCTTTTTTCACCCGTCCACCAACCAAACTTATCCCTTTTCTCACACCATTTTTCTTTTTCAACCATTTTTTTAAGAACATATTATCATTACTCTTGCCAAATACCCGATTCTATAATAAAAAAGGTGCAAAATATGTGAATAAAGATATTTGTAAGTTAGGTGTGTGTGGCACTTAATATCTGCCGTTTGATTCAATTAAAGAGGCAAGGTGTAGAAGAAAACAGCAAAAGCATTTCAGTTTGGATTCATACTTAGCATACTTGTAGCTTAAACTTTCTTTCTTTACTCCCAATGTTTTATATGTGCTTCTTTTTTGCGTACTCACCGTGCAACAGTGTAGAACTCATTTTAACCTCTATACGGAGAACATGTGTGGTGTAGATGCAGAATCTATAATTAAATTTATTTAAAGGGTTAATGACCGCTTTTAAGATACGATCGCGTGTTGATCATAGTCGATTCAAGTTGATTAAGCGCAAAGACATGAACATAAAGACAAAAAAATAAATGAATATAGAAATTTATAATGGTTCACCTTCAATGTGAATGCTACGTCCACTGTAGGATCTCAGGGTTTCACTATATCTCTAAAAAGTACAATTACAATTAGAGCAAAAAAGAAAGAAGAAGAGGAAAGAATCTAGAGAGAGAATAAGAAGAATGAGGTTGGAATGTAATGAATTCGATTGCTTAGTTCGTGATCTTCATCATCTTTTTATTAGAGGAGGCTAGTTTTCTTTTTCTCTTGAGTTGACTTTTCATTTCCTTATTTCCTTATTTGTTTTATGGTTGCTTTTCTCTTCATTGTTGATTGAATTCACGCCTTTAGTGCACGATTCTGTTGGACTGGGCTTTGTTGTCTCCAAGGAATTTTCTTTCTCATTTTATCCGCGGTGGCCCTCATGAATCTCCTGTCGTCATGCTTCTTCAGTCGTCTTGAGTCGATCATTCCTCTAGTCATTTTCAGCCGACATTCTTCTTCAAATTCTATTCACGTGTACGACTGTAATCCTGGTACTGATTTTGACCCTAATGTATGATTTTATAAAGACTTGCGAGATCATTTGCTCATCAGTTTTTGGAGAAGTTTTATTTATAAGATCTTTACGCGTACTCTTCATGTATGAGAAGGTTTATAAATTTTAGAAGGCAATAATCCTTTTTAAAATGGGTGTGTAATGAGTTTTTTTTTTAAATACTTTTATATTTAAACAATAATTTTTATTAATCGATAATTTTGTAACAATAAATTTTGTTAAAAGGAGTGTGTCAAAAGTAGAATGGAGTGTCACTAGACTTACCCTTTAATTTTTTATGTTATTACTAAAAGAGCCTTAAGTAAAATTAATTTTAAGTGCAAATATGATAGAAAAAAATTCTCTTAAAAAAAAAAAAAATCTCTTATCACACTTTTCTTTTGAAATGAAAAATTTTTATACACAACTTCTTTTTCATGTCTTAAAAATAAAATCTAAAACAAGTAAGAAATTACTGAAAAGAATAAGTTTGAGGGACCAATTGCAAAATTAAGATTAAAAGGCTTGTTCTTTATTTTGGTTTTGGTAATGCTTTGTAATTCTTGTAGTTCAAATACACGAGGGAGTATTTGTGGCAACTGTTTATTCTAAGGTATTCTAGAATGGTGAATTTTAGGTGATGCTTTACTTTTTTTTTTTTTTTAGTTTCATCTTTTTATTTCTAGAGCTTCTCTAGTAGGATTAGAAAAATTAAACTACCAACAGTTCTCTATTTTTAGCCGTCAGATATTCTATATAAAAAATTATTTGTTCTGCATAGTTGTAATCTGATGTGATTTTGACCATATTTAATAGTTTTAAAATAGTATTACCGATTAGATTGTCCTACCATAAAAATTCTTTTTTAATTTTGTCATTTTATAATTAATAACGTTTCATGTATTTTTATGATCAAAGAAAACTTTTTTCTTTAAACTACTATTAATGTATATTATTTTTACAATTTATAAGCACTTGTTTTTGGCATATTATTGTCCGTATCCTACGTTATAACAATTTGTATCACAAGTCAATACGTGCACTGCACGTTCCTAAATTAGGGTCTGTTTGGTTTCTAGATTCACTCTCTGATTCGAATCATGATTCGTGGTTCGCTACAGTATTTTCTCTCACAAAAAATACACGTAAATCAAAAATAATTTAAATCACATGATTTAAATCCATGAACCAAACGGACCCTTAGTATATATAAAAGAGTGAATTTTCAACGGTACAATAAATTCAAATCAGCGCTCAAAAGCATTTGAAAGAAAATGTGACCACCAAAAAAGTCAAATTGTAATTAATATGAATTAAAAGTGCATTTCTTTTTTCAAACTATCCTTCAACATTTCGGGTTATGAGCACAACTGGAGATTGTTTTAGGCTTTAGGCAAGTATTATAAAAAGTACTATTGGAAAAGTGAATAAAAAAAGTTTGAAGCATATAGGGCCTGTTCTTTTGGCCTTTTTGAGTTATATAATTTGAGTGTAGATTTTGAGTTGAATTTGAGTTATAACTTGAGTTGTAGTTATAACTTGAGTTTGTGTTTAGTTGTGTAAACTTGATTTATAATTTGATATTAGAATTTACTTGAGTTTGTGTTTATTTCAACTAATTCTTGAGTTGTGAATAGTATCCTGAAAAAATAAAACTGAATCATCTATAAGTAGTAATAAATTTAAAAATAGCGTAGTCATTTTCTTCATTTAATAAATTAAAATACTATATAAAAAATTACTAGAAGATGAGTTTCCATTATAAATGGTCTCGTAAATAGTCACAAATATATACATAATTAATATCGCAATTCTCCATACAATATTATTAGCTCGTACGACGATTACGGTACACTGCCCACATTGTATGTGCTCTTGCATCCCTTAATGCATTCATCTCCAGTTTCGGTTCATTATTTAATGGTTGTCCTTCGTGGTTGTTATTGTCATTGACATCCTCTTCAACATTCTGTGGATCAATGTCAACAACCGGAACGCCATCCTGTGAGTACTGATCTAATAGTCTATCTCCATTACGGTACATATGGATAAAATTATGAATTATAGCACATGCAACCGGAACCTTAACTTGCTTTTCAATGGGGTAACGGTTAATGGTTTTCAAAATACGAAATCTGGCATTCCACACACCAAATGTTCTTTCGATTACATTACGCAGGGAGGAGTGCGTGTAGTTGAACAATTCACGTTCATTGCGGAAGCCTCTACCCCGTCGATTCCTATACTCTTGCAAATGGTATGTTGTTCCCCGATATGGTGCCATGAAACATCCGTTGTTTGCGTAGCCTGAGTCGATGAGGTAGAATTTTCCTACATGTATTTAAGTAATCACAATCAACACTTCTAATCTAGATGCAGTTTCTGAATTACGTGTAGATGTACATATAGGCGTTTTTCCCACTTACCTGGTGGCGGAATTAGAAATCGTTTCCGTGGGTGATCTAATGCGGATGCAAGTACTCTTGCATCATGTGCTGAACCCTCCCATCCAGATAGCATGTACGTAAATCTCATATCAAATGAGCAAACTGCAAGCACATTAAGCGAGAAATATCCCTTCCTATTCCTGTAAAGTTCGGCCGTTTCACGGGGAGGCACACATGGAACGTGCGTACCATCTAGTGCTCCAACACAATTTTTCAAATTAACAAACTTACATACGTTGTTATGCAATGATATAGTTAAACTCATTGTGAGATAAAAAATAACTAAAATTATGAAGTAGAGAAAAAAATTTATGTATAAATTCGTAACTTACATCGAACCACGGCGAATACTTGTTCCCACCTGCAATTATGTGAGGATCGACGGCAGTAAAATCTGGATGCGGAATGAAGTCTACTTTTAATTGGCAAACCGCTTCAAGTACTTTTGTGAAATACTCCGATACCGTGGAGCCCGAGCGCTGCCAATGGTCCTGCGCTTCCCTATTAGTTTGGTTTTGACATAGTATTATAAGGAATATGAATAATTGCTCATCAACATTAAGGTTGACTGTCGGTTGCAGTAATCCCCTTTCCTCAAGGATAGAAGATAGGCGTCTAAAAGCCTCACTACTCATGCGAACTTTATCATAAATTACTTCTGGACTCCCATTAAGATAGTAGTCCACTCTTATCCTACCTCCCCAACCAGAAGTGTGCCTTTGGCGTGATGGTTCTCTATACACAAATCCGACGCATAACAAAGTGGCAGCCGCGACAACATGCCTGAAATAGTGATCATCACTATCATCGTCTGACGCATCAGAGTCCATTGGGCTGCCGGCCCTATGGTGAGCTGTACCTGTCAAAGTTTCTAACCAATAACATGAAAGTTTAAGGGTTTAAGAAGTATGCAAAAATAAAGCATTTGATCATCACCTGTTCAAGTAATATTAGTCATCTACTAGATGTCGTCAATAATAAATACTCATTAAACAATAACAATAAATGTCTGTGGTTCGCAAATAAAGTACAACAAGGCCAACAATGTTTAAAAACATACTAAATACCCGTGGTCCTCAAATAACCCAAAATTGGACCAAATGTTAATATGCATCTAAAACTAACTCAAGTAGCAATAATGTCTCAGAATCATAGAGTGCAATGAATGAAATAAAAAAAAA